ATCTCATTGTGGTTCTTTCTTTATATCTGTAGTTGTAGAGGATCTTTTCTGCTAGTTTTCAGGTCGTTCTCACTGATAGTTGATCTGTAAATAGTTGTAATTTTGCTGTAATTTAGGTGTAATTTTGGAGGGGGTGAGCTCAGTGTCTTCCTACTCTGCCATCTTGGCCACTCTCCAGAAGTTTTTAATTTTAATAAAGTCCAGCTTATCAATTCTTTCTTTCATGGATCACGCGTTGGTGTTTTATCTAAAGGGGCATCACCATAACTAAGGTTTTCTCCTATGTTATCTTCTAGGAGTTTTACAGTTTTGAATTTTACATTTAGGTCTGTGATCCATTTTGAATGAACTTTTGTGAAGGACGTCCAGCTGTTCCAGCACTATTTGTTGAAAAGACTACCTTTGCTCCTTTGTTAAAGATAATTTGACTTTATCTGTATGGGTCTATTTCTGGGCTCTCTATTCTGTTCAGTTGATCTATTTGTCTATTCTTTTGCCAATACCACACTGTCATGATTGCTATAGCTTTATAGTAAGCCTTGAAGCCAGGTAGTGTTAGTCTTCCAACTTTTTCTTCTTCAAAATTGTATTGGCTATTCTGGATCTTTTGTCTCTCCATATACACTTTAGAATAATTTTGTTGATATCCACAAAATAACTTCCTGGGGTTTTGATTTGGATTACATTGTGTCTATAGATCAGGTTGGGAAGAACAGACATCTTGACAATGTCGAGTCTTCCAATCCGTGAACATGGAATATCTTTCTATTTACTTTGATATCTTTCATCAGAGTTCTGCAGTCTTCTTCATCTAAATTTTGTACATATTTTGTTAGATTTACACCTAAGTATGTCTTTTCTTTTTTTTTTTTTTTTCGGTACGTGGGCCTCTCACTGTTTTGGCCTCTCCCGTTGCGGAGCACAGGCTCCGGACGCGCAGGCTCAGCAGCCATGGCTCACGGGCCCAGCCGCTCCGTGGCATGTGGGATCTTCCCAGACCAGGGCATGAACCCGTGTCCCCTGCATGGGCAGGCGGATTCTCAACCACTGCGCCACCAGGGAAGCCCAGTATGTCATTTTTAATCAAATTTATGGGCACGGAGTTGTTCATGGCATCCTTTTATTATTCTTTTAATTTCCATGGCATCTGTAGTGACGTGCCCTCATTTATTTTTAGTAACTTGTGTCTTCTCTCTTTTTTACTTAGTTAGTCTGGCTGGAGGCTTATCAATTTTGTTGATCTTTTCAAAGAACCAGCTTTTGGTTTTGTTAATTTTCTCTATTGATTTCCTGTTTTCAATTTCATTGATTTCTGCTTTAATTGATATTATTTATTTCCTTCTTTGGATTTAATTTTCTCTTCATTTCTTAGTTTCCTAAGGTGAACACTTAGATTACTGATTTTTAATATACACATTCGATATAATAAATTTCCTTGCTTTCACTGCATCCCACAAATTTTGATAAATTGTATTTTCACTGAGTTCAAAATATTTTAAAATTTCTCTTCAGATTTCTTTGACTCATGTGTTATTTAGAAGGGTGCTGTTTAATCTCCAAGTATTTGGGGATTTTTCCAGCTATCTTTCTGTTACTGATTTCTAGTTTGATTCCATTGTGATCTGACAGCAGACATGTTATGATTTCTAGTCTTTAAAATTTGTTAACGTGGTATTTATGGTCCAGAATGTAGTCTATCTTGGTGAATGTTCCATGTGAGCTTGAGAAGAATGCGTAGGCTATTGTTGTTGGATGAAGTAGGGCATAAGATGTCCATTATATACAGTGGATTGATGGTGTTGCTGAGTTCAACTATGCCCTTACGGATTTTCTGCCTGCTGGATTTGTCCATTTCTGATAGAGCTGTGTTAAAGTCTCCAGTTATAATAGTGGATTCATTTATTCTTCCTTGCAGTTCTATCAGTTTTTGCCTGACACTTTAGGAGTATGCACATTAAGAATTGTTACGTCCTCTTGGAGTATTTACCCCTTTATCATTATGTAATGCCCCTTTTAACCCTGGTAACTTTCCTGAACTGTTCTGAAGTCTGCTCTGTCTGAAATTTATATAGCTACTCCTACTTTCTTTTGACTAGTGTTAACATGGTATATCTTTCTCCAAATCTTTACTGTTAATTATACATTTCTTTATATTTAAAGTGGGTTTCTTGAGACAACCATATTTGGGTCTTGTTTTTTGATCCACTCTGACAATCTCTGTCTTTTAATTGGAATATTTAGACCACTGACGTTTAAGGTGATCATTGATACGGTTGGATTACTATCTACCTACTTGTTGCTATTTTCTATTTGTTGCCCTTTTTCTTTTTCCTATTTTGTCTTTCACATTTTTTCTGACTTTCATGGTTTTAATTGAACACTTTATATGATGCTATTTTCTCTCCTTTCTTAGCATATCAATGATACTTCTTTTAAAAAAATTTTTTTTAGTGGTTGCCCTAGAGTTTGCAATATATGTTTACAATGAATCCAGGTCCACTTTCAAATAAGCACTTCACAGGTAGCTCAAGCATGTTATAATAACAAAATATTCCTAATTCTTCCCTCTCATCCCTTGTATCATTGCTGTCATTCATTTCATATATATATATATATATATATATATATATATATATATATTATATATATACCCATATATACACATATATGTATAACTGAATCACTTTGCTGTATACCTGAAACATTGCACATCAACTATACTTCAATTTGAAATTTATATAGAAAGATATATATATATATATATATATATATATATATATATATTATATATATGCCCATATATACACATAAGCACATATTATTGAACACATTGTTGCCATTATTATTTTGAACAAACTGTTAGCCATTAGATCAATTAAGAATAAGAGAAATAAAAATTTTAATTTTACCTTCATTTATTCATTCTCCAATGCGCTTCCTTTCTTGTGTAGATCGAGTTTCTGACCAATATAATTTTCCTTCTCTCTGTAGAATTTCTCTTTTTTTGTTGTTTTAAATATTTACTTATTTATTTGGTTGCACCAGGTCTTAGTTGCAGCAGGCGGGCTCCTTAGTTGTAGCATTCAAACTGTTAGTTGCAGCACTCAAACTCTTAGTTGCGGCATGCATGTGGGATCCAGTTCCCTGACCAGGGATCGAACCCAGGCTCCCTGCATTGGGAGCACAGAGTCTTATCCACTGCACCACCAAGGAAGTCCCTAGAATTTCTTTTAACATTTCCTACAAGACAGGTCTACTAGCAACAAATTCCCCCAATTTTTGTTTATCTGAGAAATTCTTTATTTCTCCTTCACTTATAAAGGAAAAGTTTCCAGGATACATAATTCTAGGTTGGTGATTTTTCTCTATCAGCACTTTAAATATTTCACTCCACTTTCTTCTTGCTTGTATGATTTCTGAGGAGAAGTTGGATATAATTCTTATCTTTGCTCCTCTATTGGTAAAGAGTTTTTTTCCTCCACCTTCTTTCCAGATATTTTCTTTATTGTTGATTTTCTGAAATTTGAACATATGTCTAGGTGTAGTTTTTTTGGCGTTTACCCTGCTTAGTATTCTCTGAGTTTCTTGGATCTATTGTTTGGTGTCTGACATCAATTTGGGAGAAAATTCTCCGTCATTATTGCTTCAAATACTTCTTTTCTCTTTCTCCTTCTGGATTCCAATTACAAATAGGTTACAGCTCTGTACTTATCCCACAATTCTTGGGATATTCTTTTCTGTTCCTTTCAGTCTTTTTTCCCTTATCTTTTTAGTCTAGGGAGTTCCCATTGTCATATCATCAAGGTCAGAGATTATTTTCTCAGCTGTGTCTAATCTACTAATGGGCCCATCAAAGGCATTCTTCATTCTGTTACAAGTGTATTTTATCTCTAGCATTTCTTTTTGATTCTTTATTAGAATTTCCATTTCTCTACTTATATTATCCATCTGTTATTGCATGTTATCTACTTTTGGGCATTTCTCTCCCCTAGGTAAGTTAGGCTCTGTTAAAACCCTAGCAGGCTAGGCTCTGATAAAATAGTTTCTTCTGAGGGCAGGCCTTGTTCAGAAGAACAGGTGCTCTGGTGTATTTCAAAAATGGCTCACTTTCCCCTCCCCTACCTAAAGCATGAGGGGATTTTTCTCTAACATTCAGTGTGGATCTGGTAGAGCCTGTGAAGGTAAAGCTCACAGAAGGGTGGGAGCCTCCTATGACTAGGTCCCCCTGGAGCTTCTAACTCTCAGACTTGTCCACACAAGGCTTCCAGCAACTTGTCAATTACAGTTCAAGTTTTCTTACCCAGGCACTGGTACCCTCAGAGATTTCTGCTTATCTCCGTGGCTGTTTTCGACTTTGACAATGAAAAGGGAGAGGGCCTTTCTCAGGTATGGGTCAAAATTCCTGAAACTTGTGACAAAGTCAAGGGAGGAAGGGTGGGGCCTGGAAGGACCCAGACACAGGAAAGGTTGGTCCTGATGGGAAGGGCAGCTGCAGGAAGGGCCGGGGCAGCCTGGGGCAGAGGTAAGTGAAAGGAGAGCTGAAGCCTCCTGCATCCTCCAAACCTTTGCCAGATTGTTCTCTTCCTTTCCACCCCACAGGAGGTACAGATAAAAGCAGAGATGACCCCTCTTCAGAGCACTGATCTAAAGTGGCCTGCCTGTCACTCTCTCATCTACCTGTAGCTCTTCTCACTGTTTGGCACCATCTGGTATATTTCTTTGTTAGGGCTCATCGTCCATCTCCCAACACTAGAGCAGGCACTCCGTGGAGCAGGGCCCTTGCTGCTCCAGCCTCAGTACACAGAGCAATGTCTGGCCCACAGCAAATGTTTGTTGAATGACTGACTGAGCGGCCAGAGGCTAAGAACCAGGTCCCCTTCTTACCCTGGTGCCTCTAGACTCCACTCATGGAGGAGATGAGTTTCTGGCTGGACAGGCTCCAAGCCAGGTCCCTCCCCCGGGGCAGCCTTGCCTGATTGGCTGGCTTTCTGAGCACCCACCAGCGATGATGACCGCAAAGTCAGTCTCCACGTCACAGGCAATGATGTCCCCATTTCGTATGTGCCTCTTCACGGCCTCCTTGACTTTGCCCATCCCAAGCTCGTTGCCTCTGTCACCGACCCCTGGAGGGAAGGGAACTGAGTCAGGGCACAGGATCAGGCAAAATGTGGCGTGGTTATGGGGCAGAGCAGCCCCTTCACGTGTGCCTCAGGGTGGGGAAAGGGGTTGGCTCTGGATACATTTTCACACTACCAGGAGATGCTGGACTTCTTTAGGTATTCTAGAAACTTCTCCAGTTAAAAATGAGTCCAGGTTTGGAACTCAGCAGAGTGTGGCCGTGTCCACCGTTGGGTCACATTCTCCAGTCACAGATGGGGCGCCAGGTCCACGAGAGATGGTGGCACCCAGGACTTCCTCTCCTTGCCAGTAGCTCCTGCTCAGGGAGGGGCCACAAGGCCCTGAGTCTCATTACTGTGACCAGACAGCATTCCATTGGCAGAAGGGAACGGGTATAGGTTTGTTAAAGTCAATTCTGTAATTTAAAGCCTTCTGTTTCAAGTATGTGAAATGTATGTGTGTCATTTTAGTTAATTTTAATCCACACCAGATAGGCGCCTGGTTAATATATAAAGCAGCATAATGAGGAATTCACACCCCAGGGGTGGCCTGTTAACATTTGAAAGAGACCACAGAATAAAGGCCAATCTGCTAGGCACCAGAAGGTTTGTTAATTATTCTAGCATAATAAATGCTAGAATAAATATGTTAGAATAAGTAAATGTCAGAAATTTTCTTTTTTTTAAATTTTATTTTATTTATTTATTTTTGGCTATGTTGGGTCTTCGTTGCTGGGCGCGGGCTTTCTCTAGTTGCAGCGAGCGGGGGCTACTCTCCGTTGTGGTGTGTGGGCTTCTCATCGCGGTGGCTTCTCTTGTGGAGCACGGGCTCTAGGCACGCGGGCTTCAGTAGTTGTGGCAAGTGGGCTCAGTAGTTGTGGCTCACGGGCTCTAGAGCACAGGCTCAGTAGTTGTGGCTCACGGGCTCTAGAGCACAGGCTCAGTAGTTGTGGCTCACGGGCTCTAGAGCACAGGCTCAGTAGTTGTGGCACACGGGCTTAGTTGCACCACGGCATGTGGGATCTTCCTGGACCAGGGCTCAAACCCGTGTCCCCGGCATTGGCAGGCGGATTCTTAACCACTGCGCCACCAAGGAAGCCCTGTCAGAAATTATTTAATTCATTGGTGAAATAAACGGTGTTCAAGAGAGGTGAATTGGCTAGAAGTAGTTACCAGGTAACTCCACACTTGTAGGAACAAGATGAAAAAAACTCTAACAAGCCCTGCAGCCCATGCCCTTTGAGGTGGTGCCCTAGGAACACCATTTGGTCCTGCATCCAAGTGTTTCTGGAGGATTCTGTAGACTAGAGGTCAGCTGAATCTGCCTCTGGAAGATGGTTGCAGCTGCCTCAAGATAACCATTCACCAAGGGGATTATCCCAGTGCCCCAAGGACAGAGGGCTGGGCCCCTCAAGCCTACAGATTGGTTGTATGACTGTTTTTGTGTCTATTTCTACAAATATGTGGAAGAATTCCACCAGAGGCAAGCATTCATTGCGTCATGGTGGAGAGGGGCCTGGAGCTGACTCACCTTAAGCATCAGAGACCTGGTCTCGGCCAAAAGAATGCGACGATTGTGGATGACCAGATGCCCTAGGTCCTCACCCTGAGGACTTTTCTCAGAACAGTTTTCTAGATCCATGACAGTCCATTGAATGAAAGAAAATAACAACACCTAGCACTGATATCTTGTCTATTTCTGTCTGTGCCCTTTAACATTTTATGAAGTTCATCTTGTTCGCTCCTCAGGTGTGTCCCGTCTGTGGACCTGACCTCACTTTACAGAGTCTCTGAGAGGGGCAGGACCCGGGTAGTGAGTGGGACATGGGTGTCTTGATTCTCAGTTGAGTGTGATTCCCTGACAAGGCAGCTGCCTGTGGAACTGAGGAATAGGGGTGTTGATGGAGCAGAGGAGGGAAAGGAGGGTTTGGGGGGTAACTCTGCTGAGCAGGGGGCTGGGCAGCCACAGGAGGGGCTCAGGCTCCTGAGACCAAGAGAAGGGTCCAGGGGTCCACAAAGGGGGCAGCTTGAAAGCACAGCCAGCTCCACCTGCTTCCTCTGGGATCTTGCGGGCATCGTTAGGGGGACGAGCACAGATCGGGGGTCCATTCAGTGGGGGAAGAGTGTTTGATCTACAGCTCCTTTGGACCCTGCTGGCCCGTGCGGACACAGAAAGCCCTTCCGCTCTATCCTGGGAGGCCTCCCCAGCCCAGAGAGGCAGGAAGCACGAAGCCAACCGCACTGGGGGCACCACACCCGAGGCCTCTTGTGGGAAAGACCAGGGCGATTTGCGGAAATTTTCTACTCAGCCAGGAAGGCTTTCATTGTCTCATCAAAACCCCAAAAGCCAAAGGCAACTAATGAGCCTGGGAAACACTCTGAAGTGTTTGAATGGACAGAAAAAGTAAATATGGAACATGACAAACGTGCCTTCATTTCTCCACGCTCTGGTTCCCACCCCAGGGGAGGAATGCTGGCGTCCCAGTCACATCAAGCCTTTCAGAAATTCATAAAGGCAACACGGTCCCATGAAAAGCATAGTCGGTAGGGCCCTGGGAGTCTGGACTCTACTCCTAATTAACTAGGCAACCTCGAGATACCTCCCTAGGCCTCACCTTTGGAAACTATACCTGCCTTACCTGCAGGTTTTAAGAGAAGTTTAAACAATACAATGATTGTGAAACCTCTTTGAATACCATAAATTTCTATACAAACATGAATGATCACATTATTAGCAATCAAAATATCACACTGATCATACATTCAAGATATATTTAAAAATGAATAAACTTCATAAGATGATACAGAATACATATGGTACGTTCACCCTGTATGACCAAAATAATATACCATGGCTTGATCTTATTATTGTCATTATTTTATTATTAGTTTTGATGTTTTAGAGTTGGACAAATAGAATATGCTCAGTTAAGCGTCATTTCCCTTTCCTGCTCGTGGGAACACTGGATTTCTAAATGTCAGCATCGTTATTGTCTATACCAACCAGAATAAACAAAGACCAACTCTGAAGTGGAAAACAATGGTCCCATATAACTCCTTTTTGTCATGTGTTCAGCAGTCAATAAAAAAGGCTTTTAGTGCTGACATGTTCTTGTCGCATTCTCAGTGTCCCTTGCTTACCAGTTGATGAAATTCCAGTAATCTTCTGCACTGCAAGGAAAAGACCGTCGATGGGGTCCACCAAGTGCTTGATGTTCCTCTTCCTTGCGTGTAGTAATTGCCATCGGCAGCCCTTCCCGTGCGCTCGATCGCCACCAGATGGTCAAACCTGCCAGGGGTGAGGGCACTGGGTCCTTATGGAGAGCCAGGTGCCTGGCTGGCTCATGCCTTCCCGTGGTTGTGCGAAGGACCCTTCCGTCTTCGTTTCCTTCTTTCCTACAGAACTTGGTTGAACATCCACTGTGTGCCAGAGCCTGTGCTGGGCGTTGGTCTCTCAGATCATTTTAAGAAACAGTATCAGGGCTTCCCTGGTGGCGCAGTGGTTGAGAGTCCGGCTGCCGATGCAGGGGACGCGGGTTCGTGTCCCGGTCCGGGAGGATCCCACATGCCGCGGAGCGGCTGGGCCCGTGAGCCATGGCCGCTGAGCCTGCGCGTCCGGAGCCTGCGCTCAGCAGCGGGAGAGGCCGCGGCTGTGAGAGGCCCGTGTACCGCAAAAAAAAAAAAAAAAAAGAAAAGAAACAGTATCAGAATCTTTAGCAGCATATTAGAGACAGAGGCTGTGAGAGCAGGAAGGCCAACGGTCAGGGTCACCATGGTAGATGCTGCTGGTGCCCCGCCCAGGTCTCCGTTAATCAGAGGGGCACCAGCACCCAGTGGGTTGAGTGTTGGCTGCTACTGGCCCACTGCTGCCCTCTCCCAGGATCTTGTTCGCTTTACAGACACAAAACAGACTAAAAAGGAATTGAAATAGAAGACAAATGACTCTAACACAAGATAAACTTATTTAGACAGCAGGAGATAGAAAGGGCACGGATAGGATGGTGGTAAGAAGGTGGGTTGCGGAATCAGATTGTGTACAGTTCCAGGTCCTGATGCTGCTGGCCTTGGGCAAGTCCCTTAAACCCTCTAGCCCTCATTTTCTGCATCTGTCAGATGACCTAACAACAGTACGTGTCTCATACTGTGTCGAAAGGCTTAAGTGAGAAAATGCACAAGAGATGCTTAGCACAGACCTCCACACCTACTCAGGGCTCTGTAAGAGTTACTGGTGTGGCTGCTATCATGATTAGGAGGAATACTGTTTTGAAAATCTAATTTAAGAACATGAAAATTGCTCTTTTATATCTCTCTAAATCCCCCAAGATGGAGTTCTTTAAAATCTTAACTCTGCTATGGAAAACTATATGGTAGTTACTCAAAAAATTTTAAATAAGATTACTATATGATCCAACAGTTCTGCTTCTGGGTATAGACCCAAAAGAATTGAAAGCTGGGTTCCAAAGAGGTCTTTATGCAACCATGTTCATAGTGGCATTATTTACATTAGGCAGAAGGTGGAAGCAACCGGTCCATTGATGGATGAACAAGGAAGCAAAATGTGGTCGGTACATACAAGGAAATATTATTCAGCCTTAGAGAGGAGGGAAATTCTGTCACCTTATAACATGTGTGAACTTTGAGGGTATTTTGCTAAGTGAAATAAGCCTGTCACAAAAGGACAAACACTGTATGATTTCACTTATATGGGACACTAGAGTAATCAAATTCTTAGAGGCAGGAAGTAGGACAGCGGTTGCCAGGGGCTAGGGAGATGGGGGGATGGGGAGTTATTATTTAATGGGGACAGAGTTCCATTTGGGAAGATGAAAAATTTCGAGAGATGGATGGTGGTGATAGTTGCACAGCTATGTGAATATACCTTATTACCACTGAGCTGCACACTAAAGAATGGTTAAAATGGTAAAATTTATGTTATGCAGGTTTTACCACAATATCAAAAAAGAACCCCAAATTTATGTTATGCATGCTTTACCACAATATCAAAAAAGAACCCTTCACTCTGAATGCTTTTGCTGTACATGTTTTTTTTTTTTTTTTAATTAATTTATTTAGTTATCTTTGGGTGCGTTGGGTCTTTGTTGCTGCGCGCGGGCTTTCTCTAGTTGCAGCGAGCGGGCTTCTTACTGCGGTGGCTTCTCTTGTTGCGGAGCATAGGCTCTAGGCGCACGGGCTTCAGTAGTTGTGGCACACGGGCTCAGTAGTTGTGGCTCATGGGCTTAGTTGCTCCGCGGCATGTGGGATCCTCCTGGACCAGGGCTCGAACCCATGTCCCCTGCATTGGCAGGCGGATTCTTAACCACTGCGCCGCCAGGGAAGCCTTGCTGTACATGTTTTAAAAATCAAAATCTACGTGCCTGTCCATGTCCTTTGGTTGTGCTAGAAGGTGGTGCACCTCGTATGCTTGGATGGCAGGCCACGGAGTAGGTGTTAGAATGTGGTCCTGAGGCTACATGCCCAATGCAGAAAAAGGCAATCACTTTTTCTGAGAAGCAGAACCAAGAAGTGGAAAGAGCTTTGACGCTGAATTTCCTCTAGACGTATATCAATGGCGACGAAAAGGCAGTTCAGAACAAGAGCTCCAGTTGAGATGAATACATCCTCTGGTCTGGACTTTTCCCCCAGGGGAACTCATTACATACCTTGTGAAGGTGGATTGATTGCTTTAGGCCATAAGGGTCCATTGAGCTGCAGCGGGAAGTAATCCAGTCCTGGGAGGCCTACGCCTTGGGAAGAGTTAATGCATCTTCTCCAAAGACAGCGGAATCCTCTCTCCGCACAGTCAGATCTGGCTCACCCCCCTCCACGCAGCAAACAGAGCAATACCTGTGTTATCTGGCATCAGGGGTCCCACCCGAGAGAATTTTCTAGTTTCTCCCTGAGTTGCCAGAGCTTTGTTTGTATGCCAATCTTTTGGAGAAATAAACATTTCTAATATGTGCCACACATGTTCTGGCAGCTTGAAATAGCATGTTGGATCCCCCATCAAACTTTTCCTTGTTGACTCAGGGTCCTCATTATAAGTGCCAGGTTCTGCTGGGAGCTGCAGGGCAGCTCCAGGCCTCTTAAAGCAGTGTTTTAACATTTGAAGTGGATACTTGTTAGTGGTTGTGAAATAAACATTATTTTTTTAAAAACATCTTTATTGGAGTATAATTGCTTTACAGTGGTGTGTTTCTGCTTATGTGAAATAAACTTATTAGGCCAGGTCAGCATGTTCTGAAAAGTGGACTAGAACAGGATACAACAGGATAGGATAGGATAGAATAGAAAATATCTGGGTATATTGAACATAGCAAGAGTAAATATTGTTTTTTGAAATTTCTGTTTTAGTTATGTGTATGTGTGTACTGGTGTGCAATGCAAAATGTATTACTGTGGATTGTTGTCAAAAAAGTTTGCAAAACACTCTTAAAAGTTACAAGATCTGAAATATTTCCCTA